AATAGCAGTACAAAAAAAAAAAAAGAAAATAGTAAATATTCAGAACTAGACTTGTATGAATTAACAGAATTCAAGTGCCCGCTTCTCATCTTTACTGAAATGAGGATCTGCGCTTGTAGATGCATCAGGCAACCAGGTCTGTACAGACTCCAAGGTCATAGTGGGAGGCCCCACCATAGGGCATCGGGTGAGAGACTGGGTTTGCATAAGGCCCAATGATGAGTGTAACCCACTGGTAAAACATGCTTTTCAACTGGTTATTCTGAAATCACGTTGAGATAGACACAGCTTTTTTTCAAAGGCTTTCAGCTGACCGCTCTGAAAATTGTTCTCAATAGGTTGTTTTGCAGTCCTGTAGACTGTTGAGATACACACAGCTTTCCTTTTAATGCCCCAGGTTGGCCTTCCCCTTTAAATAAACATACAAGCTCACATGCAAATTGTTCTGCTTGAACATGTCTTTCAAAATAATACACTAACGTCAGCCAACAACCAAGAGCCGGTCGTTTTCTTCCCGGGTTAATGTTAGGTGGGAGATAAGATTGCAGCCTGCGCTTTGCCGGAGCAGATGTTTGACTCGCCGCATTCCGGGGCGGAATGGCAGCCGAGCCCTTACCTTTGGGAATGGTGATCTGACAGCACAGGTCACAGTCCTGCTGCAACTGATAAAAAGCCACTTCCTGCAGCCGGGCCCGCTCCAGCTCGGAGAGACTCTGGATGGGGACTGACCTCAGCCTCACGCTGCGGCCCGACATGCTGTTCCAGGTGAAATCACCCTGCAGGCCAAGGGAAAAACATCAAGAGTTACATGGGCCACCTACTTCTCACCAACACCACCCTCTCTCTTAGTCAATAATAAAGGCAAACAAACGCCACCTCTGCGTCCCCAGACTGGCTCTCAATTCCCCAAATCAAATCCGCTCTTAACTGACGGTGGATTTTCTCAGTCTGTTGCAAACGTCAAAATCTTGAGTAAATGCTGGGAGAGATGAGACCTGATCCCATCTAAGGATGCATACATAGTCCGAAGAAAACTACGGAAAAAAGATCGCTCGAGGGGCCTACTTCCTCTCACGGGGTCTTGTTTATGAGAACGATTAGGAACCTTTTCTTTTCCTATCTCTTGTGTACAAGAATCTTACTTACATTTGACACAGCAGAGACTGCTGCCAATGGCCATCACCGATTGTATATGCACACGAGATACAGGAGGGTGAACATATATTGAGAGCCTACCATGTACCAGAGACTGTGCTGAGGATTTTCTAGTTAATCCCACCAACAACCTTTATGAGGTGGTTCCTCATAAGGACGCTATGTATATGATATTTAATAATATAATAATATTATATTTAAGGAGCCTGAGTGGCACAACAGCTAAGCATTCAGCTACAAACCAATAGGTTAGTGGTTCAAAGCCACCCAGCCACTCCCTGGGAGAAAGACCTGGCAATCTGCTCCTGTAAAGATTACCAAAACAACCTAACCAAATCCATTGTCATTGAGTCTATTCTAACTCAGAGACCCTATAGGACACAGTAGAAATGCCCCATAGTGCTTCTAAGGCTGTAACTCTTTTGCAAAGCAGACTGACACATCTTTCTCCTGTGGAGCAGCTGACGGCTTTGAACCACTGACCTTTTAGTTAGCAGCCGAGCACTTAACCACTACACCGCCAGGGCTTCATCCACCCCACTCCTCATTCCCATAAAGATTACAGCCTAGAAAACCCTATGGGGCAGTTCTACTCTGTCACATGGGGTCACTATGAGTCAGAATTGACTTGATGGCACCTAACAACAACATTTTATATATATATATATATACCCACACACATGCATATGTACACACATACATATATACATACATATATATCTTTTCAACAACTCAGCTAGGGTCAGCTCCTAAGTCCCTTCCCCCTCCCACTGCCATCTTCATTTTGCCCTTGGTGGAGCCACTAAGGCTGCCTCCCCTTGGGGGTACTGCCCTATTTGCCTGCCACCTATCTTGTCTCTCCTTCTGAAGATGCACTCTGCCCCACATACACATTTTTTGTGTTACAGACATTGATGGACTCTAGTCCTTCCTTTTTTTTTTTTTATTACTTGAACTTTGGTTGTTTTTACATTAGCAAAATGTCTTGTTTTAATTTGTGGGGTTTTTTGGGTGGGAGGGAGAAAACTTGCTGATTCCGTAGCAAACACTGGGTAGGAGTTGGGATGTGGAGTAGTATACTTTGTTGTCAGAACTGGATACCTGCCTAGAGCTTTTTCTAGAAATCTACTTGGATCTCATGCCTAAAATTTGCAGGCATATGCACAGGAATCATTTTTATATTTTATTTTTAATAAATCATTGTGTTTGACCATAAAAATATAATGCATAACATGTAATATGTAATATACAAGATATTTAATATATATTATAATATAGAAAACAAAAAAAAACTCATTGCTGTCGAGTTGATTCTGACTCATAGTGACCCTGTAGCACAGAGTAGAACTGCCCCCTAGGGTTTCCAAGGCGGTAACTCTTTACGGAAGCAGACTGTCGCATCTTTCTCCCGCAGAGTGGCTGGTAGATTTGAACCACAAACCTTTCTGTTAGCAGCCAAGCACTTAACCACTGCACCACCAGGGCTCCTGACAATATATACTTATGACTTATATTATTATAGTATAATAATATAGTACAATATATTATACCATAATACAATACAGTATAACATATCATTTGCCATGGAGTTAATTCCGTCTCATAGTGACCCCAAGTGTGTCAGAGTAGAACTGTGCTCCACTGGGTTTTCAGTGGTTGATTTTCAGAAGGGGCTCACTATGGCTTCTTCCAAAGCACCTCTGGGTGAACTCAAACCCTAACTTTTTGGTTAGCAGCTGAGCGTGTTAACCATTTGCACTACCCAGGGGCCAAAAAAACCCCACCAAACCCGTTGCCGTAAGTCGATTCCAACTCACAGTGCCCCTTCAGGGCTACACAGTATATTATTAGCTGATACATGACATAACATAACATAATAATACACATGATGAAATTAAGGCTTGAGGGGGTTAAGTAATTTTCCCCAAATCATAAAGCTTGTCAGATTCAGAGTCCAGGCTCAACCTCTAGGCTTAACCATAACCTCTGTGTTTCTGCATATAGCACTTGAGTGAGCTATGTTGATCATGATAAGTACAGAGATATGATCGATTAGAGCACCACGTATTTACAGAGACATCTGAAGCTAAAATATTCCACGTCAAAGAGTCAAAGAAAAGATTCACACAACCCTAAGGGTATGTTCCTGTGCACGCACACCTCTGCTGCCCGCCTGCTGAAGAGTAGATGGCTCCGCCCCCGTGTGGACAGTGAGCAAGTGAGGGCCTACGAAACAGCACTCAGAAATCCCCTAAAGCCAAGTGTCCTCCCTCACTGAGAAGGACTTTCTGCAGATCATAGGTGCCAGTCATGGCACAACAGCTTTGAAGAGGCCGCTCCTGTTTCCTCAACAAGAAAGACAAAAAAACATGCAGGGAGTGGGAAGAAGCAATAGTGAACCACACAGGCCCCGCCAGAGACTTGTTGTTTAGAAGGCGTCTCTGAAGACCTTACCCTCTTCATCACTCATCTTGAAGAAGGGAGACAGAGAGACTGGCCCAGCAACTAGTAAGATACCTTTCTTCCATAATGCTGGCAGCATCATGCCTAGAATGTTCATCCAAAGACTGAGTGGCACTATGTTAATTCTTTGATTTTTTTTTTCCCCTCAGTATCTGGAATTTCATTCATTCAGTCAGTCGGTCGGTCATTTACTCATTCATTCACTTAACAAATGAAAATAGTACACTCTAGTGTTATTATTGTTGTTGGATGCTGTGGAAGTTGATTTTGACTCAGCGACCCCATGTGACAGTGTAGAAATGTCCCACAGGGTTTTCTAGGCTGTAATCTTTATGGAAGACCGAAGCAGAATTGACGCGTTTGAATTGTGGTGTTGGCAAGGAATATTGACTATACCGTGGACTGCCAGAAGAACGAACAAACCTGTCTTGGAAGAAGTACGGCTAGAATGCCCCTTAGAAGCAAGGATGGTAAGGCTTTGTTTCGCTTACTTTTGACATGTTATTAGGAGGGACCAATCCCTGGAGAAGGACATACTTGGTAAAGTAGAGGATCAGCCAAAGAGAGGAAGACCCTCAACGAGATGGATTGACACAGTAGGTGCAACAATGGGGTCAAGCATAGCAATGACTGGGAGGATGGCGCAGGATGGGGCAATGTTTTGTTCTGTTGTACACAGGGTTGTTATGAGTAGGAACTGACTTGACAGCACCTAACAACAACAACAAATATTTATGGGAGCAAATCACCAGGTCTTTCTCCTGTGAAGCCTCTGGATGGGTTCAAACCACCAACCTTTCAGTTAGCAGTTGAGTGCTTAACTGTTGTGCCACTGGGACTCCTTTATATAGTCATGTGCCACATAATGTCTGTTCAGACAAGGTCCGACCACATATACGTCCATGATCCCATAAGTTTACACCAAAAAAACCCAAACCCAAACCCACCGCCATGGAGTTAATTCTGGCTCACAGTGACCCTGTCGGACAGAGTAGAACCGCCCTATAGAGTTTCCAAAGCTGTAAATCTTTATGGAAGCAGACTGTCACATCTTTCTTTGGTGAAGATTATAATAGAGTTCAGAAATCCCAATCGGAGAACCGGACGTAGTGCATTTAGGCATGCCACATTTGGCAACCACAACAATTCTCAAAAACAAAGAAAAAATTCTCCAAGCTGTCCAACGAAAGCTACAAGGCTAATGAAAATGAGAGCGGGACCTATATCAGATATGGAGAAATTGCTGATGACGTGGACTGAGGACCAAATACAAAAGCAAATCCCTTTCAGCACGTTGAGGATCACCGCTAAGACACAAAGATTGTTCGAGATGCTTAAAGCAAAAGCAGGACCAGATTATGATATCGAGTATAGTGTTAGCTCTGGGTGGTTCAAGTACTTCAAACAACTTGCTTTTCGCTGCAGAATGTGAGGGTGGTTACTCTGCGAATGCTGATGGGAAGGCAGCAGCAGAATTTGTTGAACCTTAGATAAACTAATAATAGAGGGAGGTTATTTGTCCCAGCAAATTTTTAGTATGGACGAAACCTGCTTATTCTTACAGCGAATGCCTGAAAGGACTTTCATCCATAATACGGTGTCCGTACAATGTCCAAATCAAATAATGTTCTATTTCACAGAACATATCGTGGATGTTAAGCAATGCATAACTGTAGTCTAGTAGGGGGAGACAATGAACAAGTTAAGCAAAGAATATACTGTGTTAAATAATGACAACTGCTAGGTAGGGGGAAAAAAAGGCAGGGAAGGGGGCTGGAAGTGTGGGTTGAAGAGAGGAATTTGCAGTTTTAGATAACAGTGGAGAGACCTCCCTGAGAAGGCAGCCTTTGAGCAAGAGCTAGAAGAAGCGAGGGTGGTTTTGTTTGTTTTGACATATATGACTCTACACCCAGCAGATAATGATGAAGACTAGCAGGAGCCCAAGAGGGGCTCAGCCAACATGATATGGGAAAGGGTAGAGGGAGGGGAATGGGTGAGCCAATCTAGGCAAGGGAGGGAGGCTGCAATCACATTTTGCGGACTGAAGAAAATTCTTCCAGATCTAGTGCATTTTGATTTTTTTTTTAGTAACCAGACTGAGTACAAATTAAAAGTTTAAACAAAGTCCCTGGGTGGTGCAAATGGTTAATGCA